ATGGGGGTCATGCAATGCCCCTCCTGGTGTGGTTGTGAGGGTTAAGTGAATTCTGTCGAGTGGGTGAAATGGAGCCCAGTCCATAGTAAATGTTCGTGGGTGCTGCCCTGGCAGATGGGCCCCCACCCCCAGCAGCAGACACCCCCGAAGAAGGATGGGTGTAGGCACAGCAACCCCCTCCCACCTGAAGCCTGCCCTCAGAGCCAGGGCGAGGGCGCAGCCAGAGTGGGAGGGGCTGGTTGGGATCAGGGTGGGCTTCCCTCTCAGACAGGCTGGGCTCCTAGGCGCCCTGCCCCCACCCAGCCCCAGCCCACTTCTGGGAGTGGGGCAACCGGGCGGCGGGAGGAGCTGACCAGACCCGAGGGAGTGTGGGCAGCCCCAGCCCTCTGGAGCTGAGAGCAGGGTCTCGTCCCCTCCCACCCTTGGAAGGGGCGGGAGGTCCGCCCCAAGCCAACTGTGGTCCTAGTGGGTGGGCTGCTTAGGCACCCGAGCCTTCCGATGGCCTTGCGGACAGTCCCACGACAGGCAGAGCCACGCAGGAAGATGCAGCGTGGAAGTGAAGCCCCTCCCTGAGCCCACCCCTCCTCTCCCCAGAGGGGACAACCCTCACCTGTGTCCCTGCAGCCCCTGGAAAGTTCTGGGCCTTCTGGGAACAGCCGTCTGCTGCAAACACAAGCCCCACGGTCCTGGGCCTGGGGTCCGGGGAGACTTTCCAGGAGCCCTCCGTTTTTGACCTGTGTCCACCGAGGACAGAGTGTGAAGATTGGTTGTCCCCTTCCCTTGTGGTCCAGTCTCTGTCCTCACAGCAATGACCGCTGCCCAGTGCTCACCTCCCACCTGCGCTGTGGCGCACGTGCAGGGCGCCTTCCCGGCTTCCCAGTTTGCTGGCTGCAAGGACTGGCCGCTTCCTGGGAGTGCTGGCTGGGGCAGGCCCAGGAGGGACTGGACTGCGTGTGGGGTCCCCAGTGTCCCCAGCAGGTGGGGGTGACGTGGTGGTATAAGGACTCAGGTATCCCCATGCCTGGTGCAGGAAAGCTGACTGCTCCAGCACAGTGTCCCCCTCCTTCATGAAACACTGCCCCCCACTCCGCATCTGATTGGAAGCGGAGTCCAGCGATTAATCCTGTCTGAGTTGCACTTTGCGAGAGCCTCTCCGTGGTGCTCCCTTGGCCTAGATTTCCCTGGGGACAGCGCTGACCACCGCCGTGGGCCTGGAAGATTAAATGTGAAAAAATCTCCACCATGACTTTAATCAACCCGCTGAGACGGGGAATGGCCTGCACCCAGGAGAGCCTGGTCAACCCTAGGAAGCCCCTCCCCGAGGCCCCAGGTCCTGGAGGAGAGGAGGGAGGGTCAGGACAGAGCTCCAGGGGAGCCCGTGGTGCAGGAGGGAGGGGGTGGGGGCCCCCGGGCGGGCCTCCTGGAGCCTAGCTCCTCCCAATCCGGCTGCAGGGACCTGGAGGAGGGGGCTGGAAAGGGACAGGGAAAGGAAGGGACTGGGGGGACTCTGGGTTCCCCTCACGGCTTGACCGGTCTCTGGCCCAGATCAGCAGCAGCTGAGGGGCAGCTCCACTCAGGGTCTTTCCTGACCTGAGGCCTAGGTGGGGACCCTGTGGCCCGAAGATGTGTTTATGATGGAGGTGGGGGGCAGGAGGCAGGTGGGTGGAGACAGTCCTTTCGGCTGCCGTTTGGGGGAGTCAGGAGAGCAGCCCGGTGAGTGGGGGTGGGGTGGAGAGGTTCTCCGGTCCTTCCCAGGGGACAGAAAGGGCGCAGGGCTGGCCCCCAACCTGGCACCCCTGCCGAGCCGTCACCATCCTGCCCTCTGTTCACTGCGCATGCGGCGCTGACCTCCAGGCCGCCCTTCTCCAGACTTGTCCTCGCCTTGACGTTTACCTTTTAGGGCCCGTTCAAGGCCCCGTTCCCCTGGGCAGTGCTCCCTGACACCCCCTTAACCTCCCAAGCCCCCGTGGGCCTCGGTTATTTAGGGTGACCCTGACTGTCTGCTCCCGTCTCCCCAGGCAGGGGGCGCCCGCCAGCACAGGAGACCCAGGGCCGCGCACAGCAAGAGCGCGGGATCCGGGTCTGAGTTGGTATCCGGTAAGAACGCCCCCATCCCAGATTCCTACCGAGATTTGGCAGCGCCAGGAGACTAGCCCGAATCCTCCAGCGGCGGAGAGTTACTGAAACGACCGGAAGGAGTCCCGGGCAGGGGCAGAGAAGGCCGCGGGTGGCGGTGGAATCCGGGTTTTGGAGTGGTGGCACAGAGAGGGGCAGAGGTCCCCTGCAAAGCTCTGGGGTCCTGGTGGGCCTTGGGGGTCCACAGGCTGAGGCTGGGGCGTCAGATGGGGGCTAGCGAGGAGCTCCCTGGAGCATGGGCAGAATTTGGAGTTCAAGGTCACTGTGCTCTGTACACGTGTTCAGGGACTGGGACCCCAAAGCGCAGAGTCCTCTGGACCGACTGCAAGGGGGGGGGCTCGACACGGCCCCTGCCGGTAGAGGTTTCTCGGGGTCCAGCTCAGCGGCTCAGACCCCTCCATGTGCCTCCAGGCCAGAGCACCAGGCAGAGCACGCGAGGCAGGGGAGTGACGACCCGCAGCTAGTGGGGCCCTTGTCCCCTTCCGCCGCACCTCCTCCCCGCCGCGTGTCGGGGTGTCTGACTCGCCGCCGGAGCGAAGGGGGCGCTGTCGATGCAGACGGGCGGGGCCGGAGAGCGGGAGCGCGCGGCGCAAAGCGAGCGCAGGTGCCGCGGGCACGGGCCGCGGAGGATTGGGGGCCTGGCGGGCAGCCGTGCGCCGTGCGGATCGCGGCGGCGGCGGGCACGCGGCCAGTGAGCGCGCGGGCGGGGAGGCGGCGGTGGCGGCGGAGGAGCTCAGAGCCGCTCCCCGCTCTTCCATGGCGCTGCCCGGGTCGCCGGAGCCGCCCCACGGCGCGCCCCGCAAGGCGCCCAGCCTGCTGGAGATGGGGGCGCTCTGCCTGGATTCGGAGATCATCCTGGGCTTCACCAGCCACCTCCTGCGGCGGCGAGCGAAGGTGAGGGCCGGGCGGCGGGACGCGGCTGGTGGCAGAGGCGCTGTCCCGCGACTTTGCGGTGCGTCTCCTGCAGCTCAGGGAAGGAAGAGCAGGTTCTGAGCAGAGTCCCACAGCCCAGGCCGTAGACTCGTTGGTTCACTTTCCCCCACGCGTGCTACTCCATCTCCTTCTCCCCCAAAGGCTGCGTCCTAGGAGGAGAGCGCAGCGCCCAGACCCCGGGTCCCACCACTGCGCCGTGCTGGGGTGGGCGAGGCAAGAAGTCGAGGTCTGGTGGCTGAGCCCGAGTCCCTGAGGTGACTCCAGTTCCCGTGCCTGCAGGGCTGTGTCCCGGCCCCCTTTGGGGACCCGGGTGTGTGGTGTGAGCGTGTGGTCTTCGAAGTGTCGCAGTGGTGAGGACTACCTAAGTTGCGGGTGTGGCTGGCCCTGGGCGTAAGACCGTGGCTCCGCGCCAGCGTTTCTGGGAGCGCATGTGGGTAGTGAGTGTGTGTGGCAGAGCGCCGCGATCCCGGGCCCAGTGTGTGCCTGTGTGTGGCCCGAAGCAGTTGAGGGGCTGGGCCAGTGCTGTCTTGCAGGCGATGGGGGTGGCGGCGCCGGTGGTGTCCTGAGGTACCTAGACCCAGAGTGGTCCTTCCTAAGGCTGCGACGAGACAGGAGATGGGAAGTGGGTGGAAAGGGGCTGGAGGCTGGGGGACCGCAGAGTGAGACTGGGGAGCCCTTGCCCACTTTATACCCCTAACCTCGCCACATGGCCGGTCAGAAACGACTCGGAAAGCCAAGGGCAGATGATCCGCCCCTCTTTTGGGGGGAGTTCGTACACGGGTGGGGGGGGGCTTTCCAAATAAAAGGGAGTTGAGCAAAGAAGGTAGTTTTGAAGGGCTCGGGAGGTGCGGGGAGCGATTCGAATCTGTATGAGGGTCTCGTGTGTGTGCGGGGAGCCGCAGGTCGCGCTCTCCGCCTGGACCACAGCCCGCCAGCGAGCCCTGCTCCGACTCGGCTCCTTCTGGTGCTCGGGGCGCGCCTACTCGCCTGGGACGCGTGGCGCCAGGTCTCTCTCCAGGCCCCTGGTGCGCGGTGGCCAGCAGGGGTCGCTCGCGTCACGGGAAGGCAGGCGGCCGCGCCCTCACAGCCTGACCCCGGTTTCGAGCTGACCCGGAATGGGGATCCAGAATCACCCGCTGCCTTGGTTAGCTGCGATACTTAGGGCTGGGTTGGAGCGGGAGCAACTGGTCGCCGGAGAGGCGGGGGCGACCTCCCAGTCGGAGACAAACAGGCAATTAATTCCGGAGCTGAGTTCCCATCTGCCAGGCCGGCCAACAGGTCCCGCGCACACCCCCGGGGCCGGCCGCGCCGCCTTCTCCCGCTTCCCGGGCCCAGAGCGCGCACACCCACTTTTTCCGCACACGCGCGGTTGCACAGACACGCGTGCCGCCCGCAGACACGCCTAGACGCAGATCCACGGCCAGGGGCACTGCACGGTCCGGGGCCAGACGGCGGAGTCACTCAACCCCGCGCGACAGTTATACTCAAAGGGTGGCCAGAGACACACGGAATGCACTGGATTTGTAGGGGAAAGAAACTGGGGTCCGGGGGCTGGGGTTCGGCCCCTTCCTCGCCCCCCCACGATGTGGGCTTTGGGCGAGACCTTCCCCGCCGGGGCCTCAGTTTCTCGCGTGTGAAGTGAAAAGTGGATTGGTGACTCCCAGGAGACGCGCAGACCCCAGTGTCCCGGCACAAGAGCAGGAAGGCGCATGCGCGAGCGCGTACCTTGTTTTAAAGGGGCCCCCTGCGCCCCTCCCTGGGGCTGTGACTGGCTTAACAAGTTGGGGTCCTGGGAGTGGGAGGGGCCGCGCCGCTGGGCTGGATCCCTTCCCCCAAGCACTGCGGAGCGGAAGGCTCGGGCGGGACGGTCCCCCGGCGCCCCGCCCCCACCGGCCCGGGCCCCGCCCCCCCCCCCGAACGCGCTGGCCGTCGCCTGCGCGAGCTCTCTGTCACTCGCCCGCCCGCGTCGCCAACTTCGGAGCGGACAGTGGGGCCATGGGGGCGCACCCGGGACGTATCACGTAGCCGCGGCATCCTCGGACCGCCCGCGCGGCTCCAAGCTCCCGCCCAGCTCTTCCTGCGTCTGGGCCATGGGCAGCCACGGCGCCCCCATGTGCGCGGCGCACCCCGCGGTACGCACGGTCGGGCCCGGAGAAGGAGCCCGGCGGCGGGCGCCGCGGAACGGGGCTCATAACGCCGAGACTGGCGAGGGGTGCGCGGCGCCCCCTAGGGGCCGGGCCTGGAGGGAGCGCGGGGCCAGCCGGGTCTCCGGCCGGGTCTCCGACCCGGAGGGACTTGAGCCTAACCTCCCTGGATTGAAGCAGAGGGCGGGCGGCGGGTCCTCGCCCAGCGCTCCTAACTTTGTGAGAGTGCGCCAACTCCGGGGCCTGTGGCCAGCTGAGGTCTGGAGCCCCCGGTGCTGGGCCTCGGGATGGTGCCGCAGAGGCTTAGGCTCACTGTCCTCTTCTGCACCTACTTCCTGCAGGTGGCCGAGGGTGGCCTGGCCCGGGAGCCGCTGCAGCTCCTGGAGGTACCGCCCCGCAAGAGGCTGCCGGTCGGGCCCGAGCAGGACCCTTGTGGCAGCCGCCCTGCTCCTGAGGGCGCTGGGGCAGGCTCAGAGCAGGGCCACTCTGCCGGTGGAGGCAGCTGGTGCCGCCACTGCCACACGAAGCTCGCCGAGCTCAAGCGACAGGCGTGGAAGCTGGTCAGCGGGTCCGGGACACCGCTTCGGGTAAGTGAGTGACCTTTCCCTGGGCTGCCCCTCTGGGCAGGGCCCATGTTGAGACTTGGCAGACCGTGGGTCCCCGAGGGAGGCGAGGTTTCACCGAGTGGCTTTAGCCAGTCCCTTCGCCTCTCCGGGCCTCAGTTTCCCCATCTGTAAATGTGTATGAGTTGGGGGGTGAAGTGGGGCGGCTGGAGAGGGGTTGGGTGGGCGTTTCTGCGAGAGTGCGGAAGTCCTGCAGCTGGACCCGCGGTCTGTGTTCAGGAGGGGAGGGACAGAGGGAGGTCCCCGGCGGGGACCCCACCCAAGGCAGGACAGTGCCTGTCGTGCTGGAGGCAAGGGTTACTTGGTCTGTTGTTGCCCTTGGGCCACCTGGGACTGCAGCCAGGTGTCTGGAAATTGTGCAGCTGGAGGGCTTGGAGACCAGAGGGTGGGCCCCGCCCCCCCTATCCTATCTTTGTGCAGTGGGGCCCAGGCGGTCCAGATCTGCCACTGTGGGCGGCGAGCAACCCATCTGGGAGTTGTGCGGCCAGGCCCCTGGGCTCCTGGGTGTCCCTCCCAGCTGCCAAGGTGTTGCCAGGGCGGGGGCGCCCTGCAGCCCGTGGGCTGGCCTGGGCCTGGGAAGGAGCAGGGGCCATTGTTGAGGAACAATGTGCCTGGAAGTCAGCGAGGCTGCGGAGGCGGGGTCTGCAGAGGAAGCCCTTCCCGCCCGACCTTCAGCCTTTCTGAAGGCGTTCCTGGAAGTCCGAATAATCCCTGCCGAATCTAAATATAGCTCTCCAAGGAGGCCCTGCGGCCGGAGGGTGGGGGGACCCTGGGCTCCTGGGGTCCCACCGCTCCCTGCCCAGAGCAGGCAGGGTGGTGGGAGTCTGGTTTCTGTCCTGGGTACTCTAGGGGGCAGAGGGAGGGGACACGGGGCCTGTCCTGTCCTGTGGTGTGGCTGGACCCTCTGCCCTGCCTGCTGTCTGCCCAGCCCCCGCCCCATCCGCCGGAGTCTGGTCGAGCAGACACCCAGGCCCTTGGGCCCTCAGGAGGATGTGGCTGGGGACGGACTCAAGGGCCTCTCAGTTGCAGGGCCATCTTGCCCCATCAGGCGAGACCGAGGTCAGAGAGCAGAGGGACTTCGTGACTGAGCTGGGCTTTGCCTTGTGGCACCAGGCCCGTGACCAGCTGGTTGCAGGTGGGCAGGGGATCCTGATGGAGGGAGCTGCAGGTCACACCCGTTGCTGGTGAATTCCAGAGCCCCTCTAGGGGGTCTGGTGGTCTCTTCCGGTAGCCAGCTCGTCAGGGAAGCCCCGGACCACTCCCCTCCCACCTCCCCTGGCCTTTCCCGGGTTTGCTGTTTGACCGTGCATACCCCCTGTGCCCGGTGGGGGCTCACCCCCTTCCCCTGCCTTTCCTGGCGCCCTGTGGCCGAGCAGCCCAGCAGGCCGGGTGTCCCCCTCTTCTTCCACCTTCAGTGGGTGTGGCCGCTTCGGGGCTGGGCTGGGGTGCTGTCCAGTGTGCAGGGCACTGAGTGAGCCGAGGGAGGGGAGGTTCACATCCACCGTTGGTCTAGAGGAGGTGGAAACAGAGCCGTGGGGACTTGGGGGTTGGACCTGCCACCCTGGGACCCTGGCGGGCGTCCCAGCCAACCTGAAGCCTGCCCCCCGAGCTGCCTGCAGGGAAGGCAGGGAAGGCAGGGAGGTGGCATTGGACCTCACGCAGCTGCTTCTGCTTTGGGTCTGGGAGGGAGGGGGGGCTTCGTGGGGCAGCAGGGGTGGGGCTGCTGTTCTGGACGCTCCCTGGGGGCCTTTACCCGTTCTCCTCGCGAGATGAGTTTCGGGGGGACGGCACCTCACGCTTACAGAGGAGGGTGCCTGTGTTTCCCCCCTTAGACCTGGGGGCTTGCTGGGTGCTGAGGCTGGGGAGGGGGTGGAGCTGGGGCCCTCCTGCCAGCAGACAGCTCCCTGCATGGGGCCCTGGGCAGATCTGCTGAGAGCCGGCCTCAGGGGTCACGGCTGTAACACTCCTTCAGTGGCCGGGGGGCAGGGGAAGTGGCCGTCCAGTGGCCTGAGTGCGAAGCCATGTCGCCCTGCACCTTCTCCTCCCTGCCTCGGTCCCCCTCTGGGCAGCGTGGGCGGCTGCGGTCCCTGCCCAGGGCCCTGTTCACATGAGGGTCGTGCCCCACCCCCTTTCTGAGCCTTGCCGCCCTGGCATGGGGGAGGGGCATGTGCTCTGCCCCCCGGGTTGGGGTCTGGGACACTGTCCTTCCTGAGCTGAGCAGGACTTGGGCGGGGGGCAGACACCCAGGCTGAGCGCCCTCTCCGGGCCCCCCACTGTGCCACCCTCTGCTCTTGCCAGGGTCCAGCGACCCCTTTAGAGCCCTCATAAGGCCTGGAGCCAGGCCCTCTGGACCGGCCTCCTGTGGCCTCCATGGGCCACTGTCCTGGGTGCTGCAGCAGACGTCCTGCCTCCCTGGAGCCCCGGCTGCCGCAGGCGATGCGGCCGGTGCCTGCCCCCTGCTCTGCGTGCCTCTGGCAAGTCTCTGCTGGTGCGTGTGGGGACCAGGGCCAGGCCTCCCCCTTCAGCGGCACCTGAGTGCCCAGCTTAGCCCGGCCCCTCCGCCCTCCGGCAGAGCCCGCAGACCCTCTCACTGTGTGCTGACCTGGCCCCTGGCCCCTGGCCCTGCCCAGCCGGCCAGGTAAGGGCTCCGTTCTGTCACCTCTTCCTACAGTGGTTTGTCACAAGTGCCCCTTTTTTGGAAGCCCAGGCCCCTGTCCCTCCCGTGTGCATCTGGCAGGACCTCGGCTGGGCCAGCTGATGCCCAGTGCGAGGGCGCCTGTGCGGCTGACCGCGCAGGGGACACAGGCCCCGCTGACCTGCGCGCTGTGAGTTCTCGGCACAGGGCTCTGGCGGCGCCCACCTGCATCCCGGTCCCCCCCTTCCCATCTCACCCCAACCCCCTCTGGGCGGCCCTCCCGGCCCTTTTCACTGGCCTCGGCCACTGTGTGGAGTCGGTGTCCAGTGTCCTGCCCCCAGGGATGTTTGTGAACGATGCAGTGGCCAGGCTCTTCCTTCCTTGCCCGCTGTGTCCCCCACGACTGCTGGGCTGATCCGGCTCCCCGACCCCCCCCACGGGGGGGTGGCCCCAAGGAGGATGCCGTCCCTGCTCCTGGCAGCAGCGGGGTAGGGGGTCCAGCTGCCACCGACGCGTCGACTTCTCCAGAGATCCGTGACGTTGTGACATTCGACTTTCTTTCGAGGTGTCAATACAGGTGCTGAATTGATTAGCGGGGGACGTGATCGATTCTCATTTGGCTGTTGCAGACCTCTGCCCCCCACACAGGGGTCTTGTCCTCCCTGCCCCTTCGATGGCCCCTCCCACCGTGAGGCCCACGCACCCGCGATGGGCCCGGCCCTGGGGCTGGAGGCCTGTGGGCCCTCTGCCCGTCTCTGGGGCCTGGCTGGGGGTGGCAGTCCCCCAGGGAGCCTTCCCAGCCCTCGGCGTCCACGGCTCTGGTGTGTGACGGTCCTGGCTCTGTCCCGTGACCCAGGGTGGCAGGGCTCAGCCCAGCCGGTGGGGGCCAGGTGTGGCCTGGGGTCAGAATCCCTGGGCCCAAGCGCCACCAGCTGCGGGGACCACCCAGCGGCAGGGCCAGGGTGGCTGCCTTGGGGCTCCTCAGCCAACCCCCAGCTGGGCCGGGTGCTGGCAGCTGCAGTGGCAGCCGGGGGGTGCGAAAGGGGGGGCACGCCTGGGGCTGGCTGCTGGGCAGCCTCCCAGCTGGCAGGGGACCCGATGACTCAGCTGGGAAGGGACCTGTCATCTGCCGGGCTTCCAGGCTCCCGGCCACTCTGGGCACTGAACCCAGCTGGGCAGAGGCAGCCGGTCAGGCCTGGCCTCCCACTCAGCCTCGGGGACCGTAGCTGCCCCCCCGCCCCGCCTCCCGAAGTGGATGGCAGGCTAGTCAGTGCCCTTGTTCCCTTGTGTCTAGTGACGAAAGTGAAGGCCTCTTGGGCTCGCCTTGTGTCTGCGTCGGTTTGGGTTCAGGCGTGGGAGTGGGCGGGGGGATGGGACGGAGCAGGAGGAGCCTGTGGGCCCCGTGGGAACGGAGGTGGGGCGTGTCGGCTGCTCTGGTTCTGGGTCCCGGAGCACTGGCAGGGCGGGGCCTGCATTGGGACTGACTAGCTTCACTTGCTGAGTGGTGGGGGTCAGGGAGGGGGAGGCTGCAGGGCACCCCCAAACCTCAGGCTCTTCACAGCCTGGCAGGGGTGGGGGGCGAGGGTGTGGGAGGATTGAGGGCATCGGCCTGGGCCCCTCTTAAGCGTGCCTCTGGCCCCCGCCAGTGTCCTGACAGGATCTCATGCTCGGGACCCTTTTCTGAAATGGCAAAGTCTAGTCTCCACTGTCCTTGGCCAGCGGCAGGCAAGCCCATGGCTCCCTGCTCCCGCTAAGCACTCGGGTCTCCTCGCGTGTCTCGTGGGAACCAGTCACTGCATCTCTGGGCACCGGGCTCTGTCTTTGATTCACGCCGCAGGTTCCTGGGAGCCACCGCGCCGGCTCTGGGCGGGAAGGCATGGGCAGCAGCCAGTGAACGGGGTAAGAAGTGGCCGTTCGGCCCCTGGTGTCTGGCCAAGAGCTTCTCTCTGTGTAGCAGAAGGCAGTGGCCCTCGGGGCCCGGCCGCCCCTTGTCAGGTTCCTGGTGCAACCAGGAGGGGTGGCTGGGCTCTTGTGGGCCCCTGAGTGCCTCTCAAGGTCCTCCCTTCCCTGCAGGTGACCGTGCCTGGTGAGCGGGCCTCCTGGGCTGGGGGGCAGTGCCCTGCCTTTCCTTTTCAGGGCCTTGGGCTCCCCATCTGTGAACAGGGACCTCAGGCTCACCGAGTTGCTGTCCTTGCTCCTCCAGGGCGGGGACACTCTCCCTGTTGGCCTCGCGGGCTGTGACGGGGCCCCGACGGGGCCAGGCGGCCTCAGCACTGCCCACGGGCTCCTGGTGCTCCGTGGGGGGCCCCGGTAGCGTCCCAGGCTTCCACTGCGGGGCAGGGTGGGTGGGCTCAGCCGGGCACCCAGGCTGGTGGGTTGTGGTGTGCGCCCGTGCTCAGGTGGCCGGCCCTGCACTGCCACCCGAGTGCCCCTCTGACCCCCGCCTCATGTCCTGGTGGGGGCGGGTGGGCCGCAGGGCTGGCCCTTCCCTAAATGTCCTGCCCTGGGCCACCCTATCCCAGTCCTCCTCCTCCCCCTCGGCCTCCTGGATTCCCCACCAGCCCCCTACACTCGGCCTGTTCCAGACCCAAGGGACTGCTGGGCAGCCATCCTGGCTTGGCCGGCTCGACCGCTGCCTTTTGCTCCACCACAGGCCCCTGGTCTGTCTCCGGAGCCCCCTCTGCTCAGCACCCCCACGCCTGTGCCTTCCCCACCTGGAGCCCCGCCTCTGCAGCTCCTGCTGAGTGGCCTGAGCCCGGCGCCTCGGCCTCTCTGAGCCTCAGTCTGTGAGGCGGGCAGGCTCATGGCAGCCAGCACCTAAGGTGGCCCCTGGGGGTGGGCGTCTGGAGACGGTGGTCCTGGTACTCTGAGGGGCTTGCCCAGCCAACACAGGGGCTGAGGGAGCCTGGGGGTGCCTGGTGGTGGTGAGTCTGGGTGTCGGGTCTCGGGATGGTGCCAGGGGCCCCTTTTGCCCGATGTCTGTCTGTCTTCTCTGCTGGCTGACCGGTGTCCTCCCACCCTGGCAGGGGGACCTGCTATAGCCCATGATCCTATGAGGAGGCTGAGGTCCCCCCCGGGGGGCCGCAGCCCACACCCACAGAGCTGGGCTGAAGTGTGTCTGGGGGAGGCCCAGCCCCCCTCTGAGTGGCAGGTGCCCTGTTGGAGCTGCCTCCCGGCCACCCCCCAGCCAGGGCCACCCTGCTGGTCTGGCCTTCAGTCCCCCCGGGGGCCCTCCAGTGGCACTGGGTCCAGGACAGGGAGGCCATTGAGGAGGGGAGGCCTCAGTGAGCTGCTGTCCGCCCTGAGCTGCCCAGCCGGCTGGCGCCTGGCACGGACCCTGGGGACCGGCGCTGGACGGTGCGGGTGGGCTGGGCCCCCGCTCCCCGCCCCCTCCACTGACAGAGAAGGGAGCCCGAGTCAGCGCGAGCCCTCAGACCCGGGGGCCGGACGGTCCCCAGAGTCCTGGCTGGTGGGGCTCTGACTGTGGGTCTGCAGGTCCTTCTCGTGGGACCAGAGGACTGGGGTGGGGGTGAGGCCTTGGGCTGGGTGGGCACTGGGGTCCTGGGCAGCCCAGTGGCCTGCCACAGCCTGGTGGTTTCTAGGCTGGAAAACTGAGCCCTGACCCCTGGCCTCCTCGACCCACGGCCCCCGTCCCGCCAGGCTGCACGCGACGTGGGAATGTCCCTGTCCCGGATGGCGGAGCCCGAGAGGCGGTGTCTGGGGGCCCTTCCTGGACCTGTTGCCAACTCCGGAAACAGCGGCTGCTCAGGGTCACGGCCTGCATGCTCCATGTGGCGGGGGAGGGGAGCCCTGGGCTCAGGCGTCGCCCCCCCCCCGCAGCACTGCCAGTGGGTGCTGGAGCCCCCTTTCTAAAGATGGGGTGATGGGGGGCCCAGGGAGGGTCCTCGCACAGCCCTGAGTCTTGGGGCTCCCCTAGTTGAGGAGAAGACTCCTCCCAGCCCTCTTGCGTTGGCCTCACTTGTGGGGGTCTGGTCGGCTCCTGTCCCGGCTGCAGGGCTGGGCCCTCGGGCCTGGGCTCGGGAGGGTCTCCTGGCAGAGCCGACGGCCGCTCGTGTCCGGCAAAGCCCTTCAGGGCCCTCGGTGCAGGGAAAATGGAAGGATTTTTTAAGGCCGCTTAGAGGCCCCGGAAATGCCATGAAGAATGGGACGTCACTTTCGAGGTGGGGGCTCTCCAGACCCCACGGTGGCACACTGGGCAGGCGCTGAGCAGTGCTGAACTGAGTCAAATTAAGAAAAACATTTTCCAGGTGCAAGTACAATATCTGTTCCATTAGCCCGTACAGAAGAAATTAAAAGCAGTCCTTTGCAGGGGCATAATTACTTTCGAAGGTGCTGGGCTCTGGGGGGAGAGGTGGGCGATGGGCCAGGTGGGGCTGAACTTTCAGGACCTGATGTAGCTGAGGCCAGGGCTGTGACCCCAGGGGGCTGGGACCTGTGGACCACTCCCCCCCCCCCCCCCCCACGGCTGGGAGAGACCAGGCCCCTGGGAACCGGTGGGGAAGGGCCGGAGGCCCGGCGCCTCCCCCGTGGGCAGTGCTGAGGCCCTGTGGGAGGCACCTCATGCCCCCCCCCCCGCCCTAGTGGGGTCAGTGCCAGCCCCTGGGGGAAAGCCCCGCCCTGAGAGCTGGGCTGTGGTGCTGGGTGGAGAGCCCCGCTGTCGCTGTCGGTCTGTCCAGCCCACAGATTGCTGGTCCCCCGGCTGGCGGCTCCGAGAGACTCCTGTGCAGTGAGGAGCCCGTGCCCCCCGGGGCCTGCTCCAGCCTGTGCTGCCAGCCTGCGGGGGGCTCAGGCAGGCCCCTCCTCTCCGGCCTCTGCTGTGTCGGGTGTGTGGGGGGGTCTCCTGGTGTGGGGTGGGGGCCCTGGCTTATCTGGGTGGGGCCTTCTGCAGCTTGTGAAGCCGGACCCAGTACCCCCGGTGGCTGTCGGGGAGGAGGGCTGGGGGCTGTGAGCGTGAACCCCCCCGGAGCAGGTGACCAGGCAGCCTTCGGCTTGTCTTTCTGTGACAGGGTGGGGGATGGGTGGTGGTGGGGATGGTGGTTTTGACCATCAGTGCCCCAGGCCTGGGTGGCCAGGCCTCCCTGGCAGCTGCTGTCTCAATTCCTGGGGACACAGATGGGGGGGGCTGCGCTGCTTCCCTGCCCCTCCCCCAGCCTCTGTGCCTGTGGCTGTGTCGGGTGGGGGTCTGGTGGGCTTCCAGGCCAGCCCCTCTTCCTGCCTCCCCCGGTGCAGCCCGAGTGGTGGGGCCGGGCACCCCAGAGGTCCGAGGTCCCCAGAGATGGGCGGATGCCCCAGAACAATGGGCTGTGGGGGCAGGGTCCCCGCCCTCCAAGTCGGCTAATGGCTCCGGCAGGCACTTCCTGCCCCTAGCAGGCCACCGTGCTCGGCCTCCCGCTGAGTGGAAAGACCGGAGTAATCAGAGCCGGGGCCTGGAAACCGGGGAGGGGAGGGAGGGACGGCGTCTGGATTCCATCTGTGGCCCGACTGCCAACCCCGTGGAGGTTCCGGAGCCCTTCCAGGGGCCTGTCCCCGCAGGGCTGTCAAGGGAGGGGTGTTCGCTGACTCGAACCAGGCGCTGGGCTTTGAGGGGGGGGCTCCAGCCTGGGCCCGAGGAAACCCAGGCCTCCCCACGCGGCCCCCATCTGGTGGCTTGGTCTGCTTGGCCCGGGGGGTGGGGGGGCCGTGAACAGGCCTGTGGCTTATGCTACCTGGAGTGTGGGGTGGTGCTGGGGACCTGGGCACAAGAAGGGACAGCAGGCTTGAGCTGTCCTGACGGTGTCCCCTCACAGCAAGGCTGCCCTGCTCAGTGGTCATGCACGCCAGCCTTCCCAGGTGCCTGTGGACTGGGGTCGGCCACCACCAGGCAGGCTTGGGGCACCAGGGTGGGTGCAGAAGATTCGCCCCCTCATCTGAGAACTGGTCGCATGGGGGTTTGGGGGCCCAAGGCCCTTGGTGGTCAGCAGGGCAGCTGGATCCCAGCAGGCCGACTCCTGGGTGGTGTGTCGGTGGCGAGCAGGCAGCCAGGGAGGGAGGGCGGGCTCTGCTCCATCTGCAGCAGGTTCAGACTGGGGGCAGGGGGTGGGGGCGGCCGGCCAGGCAACCGGCTGGCCGACGTGGAGATGCAGGCTGGAGTGTGCAGTCTGTTCTGTTGGGGGGCCCTGAGCGAGTCCTGGGTGGTCGTGGCGGTAGCTGGCTGGGCTGGTGCTCCGCCCCGGTGGTGCCCCGGCGGTGCCCCGGCGGGTGGTGCAGCAGAGTCGGTGGCGGGAGGGACGGGACGTGGACCCTCCAGTGAGGCTCCTCCAGAGCCGTCCCTTCCTCCAGGAAGCCCTCCTTACCCTCTGTGGGCACCAGGCTCTCGGGTGGGGAGACCCGTGGTCCCCAGAACAGGGCAGGTGCCGGGCTGCAGGGGTGGGCAGCCGTCAGCGCAGCCTCTGCGCCCTGTCTGTGCCCACGTTGACGGAGTGTGGCAGGTCCAAGCCGGGCCTCCTGCCTCCCTGCCGGCCAGCACAGGGGGCCCCAGGCCTGCGAGGTCACATGGCAGAGTCACCGCACGGGTCTCCTGCCGCCCAGCCCGCCTCGGCCGGGCCACACAGGGCGGCTCTGGAGGCTTTTCCCCAGGCCCTGGGGTGCTGAGCGAACCCCGCCCTGTGGGAGGCGGGCGTCAGGTCCCATTCCTCTCACCCCCCACCCCCTCCGCACCCTCGCAGCTTGCGGCCTGGCCGTCGGGCAGCGTGCAGGTGTCTCGTCAGCCGCGGCGAGTGGCGATGGTGGGCAGGCAGCAGAGTCAAGGCCGCCGTGGGCCCTGCCATTCAGCTCCAACGATTGCTCTCCTGTCGGGCACGTGCAGTGGAACCGCGGGGCCGGGTTAATCGTTCTGGGCTGGGGGGCGGGAGCGGGCGGCGGGTCCAGGCGTCCAGGCTCTGACCGCCTCTGTCCCTTGCTCCCCCAGGACCCCTGCCTCTCCTCGCTGCTGCTGGACCAGCTCCCGGCACCCGGCTCCTTGTCCTCACACCGCCCGGAGGGCGGGCACCGCTGCAGCGTCTGTGCCGCTCACCTGCACCAGCTCACGCGGGAGGCCCTGCGGCTGCTGCAGGCCCCCGCCAGCCGGGGGGACCCCGACGCCCACCCTGGAGGCCCGGGCCTGGCGCCCTCCGGCCCCGGTGCCACAGACAGCCCTCGGGATGTGCCAGTGGTGTTGGGCCTGGCTGGCAGGCAGCCAGGCCAGGCGGCACCGGACGGGAGGAAGGCGCTGGCCTGGCCCTCCAGGCCCAGCGTCCAGGTGTCTGTGGCGCCTGCCGGCCTGGGCGGGGCGCTGAGCACGGTCACCATCCAGGCCCAGCAGTGCCTGGAGGGCATGTGGAGTGTCTCTAGGGTTGGCGGCCTCCTGCCCGCCTCCTGCCTGGTGAGTGTCCTGAGTGGGCTGGCGGCCGCCTCCTGGATGCCGGGCGGGGTGTGGGCAGCATGGCCGAGGGGGTCCCCTCCTGGAGGTGCATGTCCACCTGTCATTGGCCATGTGGGGGCTGTGGGCATCGGAGGGCGCCCCCAGACAGTCCTCAGGCCCACGTCCAGTTCTCTGCAAGGTCACTGGTGGGCCGTGTCCTCTCCTGTCTCCCAGGGCACTGCACCCACCCCATGCCCACCCAGCACCGGCAGGTGTGGTCTGGTGGGGCGGTCTCTCCCATTTCCTGGACCCCTTGTGGCACTGGGGTCCCGTGGGCTCCTGGGGCGAGGTCTGATCTTCGTCATCGGGAGCACTTCCTGGTGGGGAAGACCCCAGTTGCCCCTCCCCCTCCGAGTTCCCCCGTCCACAGTGCAAAGCTGCCCCTCGGGGGACCCAGGCTGCCCCACCAAGGCCGCCCCTCTGGCCCAGCAGGTGGTCGTCACAGCATGGCCTCTGTGGGGCCAGCCCTGGGCAGCAGTGGGTGCTGTGGGTGCTGTGGGCACCACAGGCCAGGGGCCCAAGCCGGCCTTTCCCCTAGTCCAGAGTGAAGCCAGCTCTGGAGGGGAGGTTTGCTTGTGGGGGCCTCTCCCAAGTGTCTGCTGTGTCCCCCAGTCTGCCGTCCAGGAGAGGGGGTTTCCTGGGGCACCGGGGCGATAACATGGGCAAACAGCTCGGGAGCGCTGGGCAGCTTCCTGAAGAAGGTGGCATGGATCTGGGCCTGCAGGGAGGCACCAGGGATGGCGTGCCTGGTGTGGGGCATGGTGGGGACAGCGGAGGCCCCTGGAGAGAGACAGAGGCTCCCAACCTGGGGCAGGAGCCAAGGGCACGTCTTGCAGGGGTCTTGAATGCCAGGTGGGAAGGGTCAGGCCTTCAACCGGGGGTGCTGGGGTGGGGGAGGGACGAGGGGGGCGGCGGGATGCAGGCCGTTTGCTGGGGGGGCCCTGCAGGTGGCCCACACGCGTGGGGGATTGAGGCTCCTTCTCCGTGCTGTGGGTCGGCTGATAGTGTTCCGGCAGCTGGGAGAGGGTTTGTGACTGGACGGCAGCCCTGGAGATCGACCGGGAGATTGTTAGAGCCCTGGGCAGAACCCCAGGATTCGGATGCGGTGACTTCCCCGAACCCGTGCTCCGGTCCTTAGCAGAGGCCCTGGAGTGTCTCAGCGCTGGGAGTCGGGCCTCGGAACTGGAGGCTTCTGTGGGGACCTCGAGTCTCCTACTGCCCATCAGCGGCCCTGGGCACGTGGTCTCCAGGCAAATGTGGGTGTGGGCCTCGGGCTGGCGGCCCACCTGGTCCAGGTCAGGGAGAGGAGGGGCCAGACGGGAGGGCGCCGGCCCTGCCACGGGGGTGGCCTGTGGAGGTGGGACCAGGATCCCAGTGGCTGGGAGCCAGCGCTGTGGCCTGCCAGCGGCATGCTGGGGGCCGGTCTCTGGGGGAGGCAGCCCTCAGCCAGCTGCAGCCCAGTTCCCGAGACACAGAGGGTGGCCCTTTCCAGAGTGTTCTCCTCCCCAGTGCCTGGTGAGCCCTCCTGGGGCTGTGGGACCGCCCAGCGGGGCACCCCGCTCTCGCCTTCCAGACTGGGTCAGGTGCCCGTGGGAGCCGGGCGCTGGGCAGTGGCCATGGGACGCCCCGCAGGTCCCCTGCCTGGCTCCTTTCCCTGGGGCATGGCTGTGAGCCTCGGGGTGTCTCCCCCCCACCAACAGGGGGCCAGTCCATTGCTCATTGGACAGCCAGATGTCCTGGGACCGGGGCCCCAGCCTCCTGACCCCACAGTAAGCTGGAGGCGGCTCCGGCTGGGGCAGCTGGCCTGGGCCAGTGGTATTGTGCTGCCGCCAGGGCCAGGCCGGTGGGGCCTGTGACAGTCCTCCTGAGTCCTGTGGGCACGGGCCAGGCCCTGCCCGGGGCTCACAGTCCGGGGAGGACCCAGAGCAGGGGGCCTCTGCCGGCGCTGGGGGCTGGGCCATGGAGGCCCAGCCTGGAAGGGAAGGGTGGAGGGCTTCCTGGAGGGGGTGCTGCCTGCCACTTTGACGTGCAGAGTGGGAGGTGAGGTCCTTTCTGTGGAGGCCCAAGGCTTCCTCTGTCCCCAGAAGTTGGGTGGCACAGGCTTGGGGATGTTGCTCCTGCTGCCCCCCCCACGCCGGCCCCGCCTCCCTGCAGGCGTGGGCTGTGTCCCTGGTGGGTGCCTGCCGGGCCTCGGGTGAGGCTGGGACGGTGGGGGATGGGGAACACTGTGCTTGGGTTCTGGCCGGGTCTCTAACGCGACCCATGCTGCTGCCCCCTCTGGACTCAGTTTCCCCACAGTGGAGTGGAGGTGGGATAGGATGGCCCCTCTCCTGAGTGAGGCTGCAGCAAAGCTGCTTCTGTGACGGGGCTGGGATGAGGCACCTGCAGGCGCAGCACCTTCCTGGCTGGGGCCCCCGGGTCACCAGGCGGAACTCAGAGGGGTGGCTGGCTCTGCTTCCCTGGGGCCCTGGGGCCTGACGCATGACCGCCGGGCACTGCCCCCTGGGCCCCACGCAAGGCTGAGGTGGAGTCTGCAAGATGCCACTGGGCCGCCCCTCCCCCCTTCCCCTCCACTTCCCCCGCCCCCGTCCTGGCATGAATTGCCCGCAGGGCGGGGTCTCTCCTGAGGCTCTGATTCCCGCTGCCCTTCCCGCCCCAGAATCCAGCCCACCAGGGCTTCAGGCCTGGAGGGTCCCTAGGAGATGGGCTAGTGTGCTGCTGCCCCCCTCCTCCCCTGCCGTGGGCGTCCGTGAGACCAGGGCGTGGGCCCAGCAGACGCCTCTGCCAGGCAGGCCCCCCGGGTTGCGCCTCACGCTCTCCTCTTGCTTTTCTTTCGTTGCTGCCCTGGCACCTCCATCACATGTTCTGTTTGGCCACCCGCCCCCCCATCTCCTATCCCCATGTCGTGGTCATCCCCCCACGCCGCTCCCCCCGCCCTTCGGCTTCTTCTGGCGCGGGTCTGCTTCTGGCAGGAGTCCGCAGCGGCCGTCCTGGTGGCCGGAGCCGCGGCTCGGCAGCAAGTGGGACGGTGGAGCCGAGGCGCGTGCTGGACGCCCAGCACAGGTCAGTGTGGGCGCTCGGCCGCCGGCTCGCGGGGTGGCTGGTGCTGTCGCGGCTGCAGGCGGAGGTGTCTGCCTGAGCAGGCGGGTGGCTGGGCCTGGCGGGCACCGGGCCGTGGGTGGGGCACAGCCCTCCCCGCCGGTGGCAGGCGTGGCCGGACGCGGATCTGCTGCGCCTGCTGCAGGGCTGCCCCGGGTCGGAGCCGGCGTGGGCCGCAGGGCCTCGGCCGGGCGGTGGGCTGCGCACGGCGGGTCTCACTATGCCCTGTGCTGCCCTGCAGTGCAGGCCCCGGTGGTGACATCAACGTGACGTCACCGTAAGGCCCCTCCTGCACCGCTCTGCTGGACAGAAGAGCAGAGAGCGTTGCAGGGAGCAGCTGTTGGGTGGTGGAAAGGGAACTCGCTTCCGGGTCTCGTTGCCCAGGTCTGGGCCGGGCTGACCCTCCTTCCAGAACGTTCCCCGTGAGTTGCACCCCACTCTGCTCCCTCAGCCCCATGCCCCTCGGTGTGGGGCCCACCTCCCAGCTGCGGCTGGCTCTGTCTCAGGCCTGTGTCCCCACCAGGCCCTGGCCCCTGGAGGGCATGTTTATGGGACACTGGTATGTGCCAGGCAAGCTGCCAGGCATGGGGACCCTGCCCCGCCCTGCCCCAGGCACCAGAGAAAGCAGGTGGAACAGGAGCCTGGGGGCTGACGCATCCAGCACCTTGCTCTGGGTGAAACGGGAGCCGAGAGGGGCCGGGGGGCCCGCAGGAGGCGGTGGGGGGCAGACAGGGCTCCTTGGGCGAGTCTGGGGAAGGCCGGGAGGAGAGGCCGTGGCTCCGAGGGAGCCCCTGGGCAGGGGCCAGGCTGGCGTGCCGGTACAACTCCCAGTGAGGGCCTGGCCGCTACCTGCCTTCTGGAAGCCCGGGGGGCTCGGCTGGTGCCCTGGGGGGCGCTTGGCTTCCATCCAGACTAAGGTTAGGGGGCGTCTGTGGACATTCCTTGGCAGACATGTTGTTTTCTGTGTCTTGAGAGGAGTTTGGAAGCGGATGCTGACCACAGGCTGGGGGGCCCCTGCACTGTGGTGAGGAGTGGTGCCCCCCCGAGGTGCAGGGCCTGCTTCCAGAACATTCCTCCTGGGGTCTCTGTGACTTGTTCTGCTGATGTGCCCCCGGAACCTGTCACTAGGCCCAGAGGAGGCCGGACCCCCCCGGACAGGGCTGCCCCTGGGCTCCTCACCGCAGGCCCCCTGCCAGGTCCTCCTGAGGGCGTCCTGGGCAGTGGCTGTGGCCAGCATTTGGGGCTGGCCCGTGGTGCCCGGGGAGCTGGGGACGCACAGGGCCCTCGGGGCGGGCGCGGGGGTGGCCTGGCTGAGGCCTGGGGTCCGGGGCGCAGACGCATGACTTGCGGCGGCCGCTGTGCCGCTGGCTGGCGCCGTCCGGAGCGCGTAATCTCGTTTGAGCTCCTTAGGAGGCTGCCCTCCTCTCTGGGATTTACTTCGGCTAATTAGTGGGAAATGCCAGGATAGCATTTCAGACGCGGGCAGGTCGTGCGTTACATACTCGGGGTGATTAGCGCTTGTGACAAATATTTATTGTGGTTTCTTCCCTCATTATGTCTCAGGTCCTCCCGGGGGACAGCCCAGGGAGGGGCATGGGGTCCCTGTCCATCTGTCCTGACCAGCGTGGCCACTGCGTTTCTGGGGCTGGATGGGGGGGGGGGGCAGAGTTGGGCGGCAGGCATTTCTTACCCCGGGGCAGAGCGCCCGGCCCCCAGCTGCAGGGTCCTCTGCGCCCAGGACAGCGGGCCCCTGTCTGTCGCTCACACGGTTCCCTCCTTCCCTGCAGGCAGAAGCAGCGGTGGCCGCGGTAGCGGTGGCAGACACGGTCCGAGATGGCCCTCCCGCCCTGGGCCCTGACGGTGTGTCCAAGATGTGGGGTCGCGGCGGGGCCTGCACGACCGCCCTGGTCTCCCCGGTCCCGGGCACCCCGGCCGGGGGCTCCACTGGCCCGTCGGCCGCAGCCTCCTTCTTCATCAGGTACGAGCCCCCGAGCCTGTGAGCAGGGCCCGTGCCTGGCTCCGGGCAGCTGGGGCGAGGACGTCTGTGGGGACCCCGGCTCCTGGGCCTGGGGGCCTCCCTGGGAGAGCCGGGACCTTGCCGCTGCCGAGTTGGTGGAAGGAAGGCCGTGGGGGCCGTGCTGGGCTCCAGGGCACCCTGGTGATGGCAGGATCCGGCAGAGGCCTCGCACCCCAAGAGCGGGGTGTAACCCAGCCACTGGTCGCTGTCCCACGGGCAGCCCCTCGGCGCAAATAGGCTTGTCTGTGAATCGTGCCTGGTGGCGGGACTGGCAGCTGCAGGGGCCGCGTGGCCTGGCTGCGTGATGGGGGCGTTGTCAGGTGCAGGGCTGGGGAGCGGCTTGCAGGCAGAGCTTGCTGCCCCCATCAGGTGCTGGGATTCCGCTGGGACTGATTGCGGGGCTGGTGAAGGGCCTGTCTGGGCAGCCTAGGAGCCGGGTGCCGGGGGTGGGTCCGGCAGGGACCCAGCAGCTGAGAACACCCCTCCCAGCTGGTCTCTGCCCTGGCTGCCCACAGCGGCCACGCTCCGTCTGGCCCCAGCTGCCCCACTGTCCCTGCCTGAGACCCTCTGCAAAGGCAGCCGGCCAGGGCCCCAGGTTCAGGGGCCACCGCGGCTCAGCTGCAGCCCCGTGGCCCCACAGGGCAAGCACGCCTTTTGTCCTGAGCCCGACAAGGTTGCGCTGGCCTTGGGAAGTTACCATAGAAACAGGCACACGGGCCAGGACTGGGAGGCAGGTTCTCCGGGCGTCTGCCGGGAGGGCGATGCTGGCTGCCGTTCCTTCCATTCTGTTGGACGCCCCCGAATCGCAGCAGCTTCCTGAAGGGCTGTGGGCCCAGTGCAGGGGGCAGGCGTCCCAGCCGGGAATGCTGTGTGTCCCCAGCTCCGACCTGACGTGGGCCCGGGGCGCTGCTCTTGGGGTTGCGGCCCTTGGTCAGCAGGTAAAATGGGGCACTCTGCAGCTGACCCTTCCCATGTTTTGTGGGGGCCGCCGCTCAGAGAGGGAACTGGCTTGTCCAGAGTCCCCAGGAGACCTGGAGCTGCTGGGCCCCGCCCGGAGTGCCTCAGGTACCCCCCCCAGTTGTGCTCCATGACATGCTGGTGGGGGAGGGGTCTGGGCAGGTGGCCTGATGGCTGCAGGGCGGGGTCATGAGGCCAGTGCTGTCCTCGGTGCTGGGCTCCAGGAGGGGGGCTTTGAAGGGTGAGTAGGAGTCTGCCAGGGGAGGCAGAGTGGTGTGCGGTTAGGAGTTGGGTTCCCTGCAGGCCCTCCACGCCGGGAGACCGAGGAGGGGTGTGTTCCCTGGGCGCTCCGGTGCCGGGGGCCTCGTGGGCACCCGTGGGGGCCAGACGGAGCCCAGAAGGGAGGCGGTGCCCTGTGTGCACCACTCGGCTGAGTCTGCCCAGGAGCTCGGCACTGCGGCCACAGGCTCAGCTGAGAGTGCGGTGCCCTGGCCCTGAGCAGAGTCCTGGAGAGTGTGGCCCTGGTGGGCCAGGCGCCTGAAATAACATCTTCCCCAGAGGTTCTGGGGACCTTGACCTCCCCTCTCCTGAATGCTCCTGCTCCCGCCCTGGTGCCTCGGGCCTTCCTGCCCCTGCGGCCGCATCTGCTCCCCGACGCCTCCCTCAGCCCTCTCTCCCGCCTGCCCCTCTGGGTCGTTCTGGGGGTCACTGCTCTGCATCTAGACGCCCCAGCAGGTGTGGGGCAGGGGCGCTGCTCTCCTAGGCCCCCTCCCCGCCCCAGCACAGCCTCGGTGGGCCCCTCCCTGGTGTCTGCCTGGACGGTGGGCCTGGCACCTAGCCGAGGTCCAGAGCTGGAATGGGTGCTGCCCAGAGGCGTGTGGGCAGCTCTAGCTGGGCACCCAGGGCAGGAGGGCATCGCTCCCCCGCGAGGTGGGGCTGAGAGGCCCTCCCCACCTCTGGGTGACGTGGGAAACGCCAGCTGTGGCAGGCCAGGCTCCGGGATGCTGGGGCCTGGTCCCTGGCTTCAGCAGAGCCCACGAGTCTGAACAGGCCCGAGTCTCCTCAGGGCCATCAGGGCAGGCGCCTGGACGTCCCGTCTGGTTCTGGAAGAGGCAGTGTGTCTGTGTGTGAAGAGTAAAACATGTCTCTTCCCTTTTCCATGAATCAGTGACCAGGGCTGGCGAGCGGGGAAAGGCCGCTGGGATTGACCTGAGGTTCCGGTGGGCGGCCTGGGGGCCCACTTGTGTGATCACCCGCTCACGGCCGGGTCCCATCTCCCCGGGGCCCAGGCCTGGCTGGGCAAACGCCTGTCCTCCAGAGTCCCTGCCGGGGGTCCTGGAGGGCAGGGCCTTGTGAACCAGGTCTCAGGACTGTGGTGCGGGCGGGTTCCTGCCGTATGTAGTAGGGGTTATGGGGTCCGGGGAAGCCCTGCATGGGGCATCAGGGCAGGCTTCCCGGAGGAGGTGTTCTCTGAGAGTGAGGAGGGCTCTGCATGCAAGTGAGCTCCTGCTTTCCCAAGTGCTCTTTTCAGAGGCAGACGCTCAGGCCGGCCCGGGCCCCAGCTCGTGTCTCTGCTCCCCGCACTCCGCACCTCCGCGGGTCCGCCGCCGCGAACCCCCTCTCCCCAGCGTGCAGCGGGCAGTCGTGGGCCCCGGAATGGCATCGCGTGGCCTTCCAGTTTCTGGGAGGCCTGGTGCCACTGCCGCCTCCACCTCCATCCACCCCCACTGCTCGGAAACGGGGTCTGTGCCCCCAGAAGGCTGGGGCCCCCCAGGACAGCACTGGCCCGCCCACCACAGGCCCCCAGAAGCCCCACCAGGCTGGGCCAGAAACTAAAAGACCACACGGCACCAGGTGGCTGGAGGGTCTGTCCCAGCTCCCGGGGGCCTGGGTTCCGTCAGCCGGGAGGGTGCCTGGGAGCCGCCCCCATCGGGTGAGCCTGTGGGGGCAGGGCCCCGGGGGCCAGGCCCAGGACGGGACAGGGTGGGGAGCAGAGGCGCCCTGAGTTAGGTCAGACCTCGGGGCGGAGACGGCTGGCTGCTGAGATTCCAGACCCTGGGGCCAGCCTGACCTCAGAGGACTGGGCTGGAGTCCACCCAAGTGGGACTGGGCGTGTCCAGCACCCTCCCTGCCTGTGTCCACGGGGCGTGGCCCACCCTCTGGTCTTGGCTTCTGCAGAATGGAGGCTCCAAACGGTGTCACTTGGCACCTTTCCCCGGCCCACCCCTCGCCTCCCCCATCAGCCCAGGCCCCGTGTGCCCTGAGGCTTGGGGGTGTGGGTTCAGGATGCTTTGCCTCCCACAGCCTCAGGGTCCCTGGCCGACCCCGTGCAACTTGGGGGACAGGGAGCCAGCTTTGGGGCTGGGGGCACACCTCCGCCGTGGCTGCTGCTGATTTCTACTGTAGACCCAAGGCTGAGCCGACGCCCTCCAGCTCTGGCTGGTGCGCCCCCAAACCCCAGGACCAGGTCCTGCTTCTGGCTCACAGGCGGGGCTCCTTGGCCTTTGCAGGCCAAGGTCAGGCCCAGGCCCCTCTTCCTTCCCTAGCTGCCCTGCCCCATCCCAGTAGGTGCCCCCCACCCCACCCTGAGCAGAGCCCCCCAGAGCGGGTGGGGCCACCCTCTGGACTCAGCTGTCCTGCAAGTCGGGCCACAGCCCCTCCCCCCGGGGGTTGGTGGAGGCTCCCTGAAGCCCACAGGGGCTGGGCCCGGGGTGGGGGGCGGGGGCCAGGGCAGGCTCTGAGACAACAGCCTGGCCTCCTCGGTCCGGCCCCGCCCTGCTGGCTGCCCCCAACCCCCGCTGCTGTCACTCATCACGTGGTGGTTGAGTTTGGCCCTGCCCTGCCCGCCCCAGAGCTGGCCCTGTGCCAGGGCGTGGACCCCAGCAGAGTGGGCAGCAGAGGGGGATGAGTGGGGACAAGGGGCTCTTCTGTGCGGGGAGTGCAGGCAGGCATCGGGTCGGCACCCACTGTGGCCAAGGGTGCCCCGTGCTGTCCGGGCCCCTCCTGGGTGCTGGCTTGCAGGGTTTCGCTTGGGGACTGCACCCCACCCCGCCTGCCCGGCCCCAGTAGCGTTGCCGCCACTGCTGCCATTCTATTAAGTACCCACCACGTGTCGTAGATTACTTTTATTTTCCACGATGACACCTCACCAGGAGGAGAACCGTCCCTGGGGTCCCTTAAAAGACACGTCCTATTAAAGATGAAAGAACTTAAATAAGACGCTGGCTGTAGATCTCACCGCGTGGGAGGCGGCGCCAGGCGGGTCAGCCCTCCCGTGGCCCTGGCCAGAGGGCAGTGTGGGCTGAGGACTGGGGCTTTGGGGGGGCAGCAAGCCCTGCGGGTGCAGGGAGGGGGGAGCCTGGCCGGCAGGTTCCCTTTCCCTCCCCCAGGGCTGAGCTCCTTCCCTCCAGCCCTTTCCTGGCGGGGCTGTGGGGGCATCGGGGGCTGCACCCGTGTGGAGGGGCCCCGGGTGGTCAGGTCAGCCCGTGTCACGGGAAGGGGAGGCACAGAGCAGCTGTGTCAGCACGCCTGGGTCACACAGCCTGTGAGCAGCTGGCGTGTCCTGCTCCCCACAGGAGCTGCAGGGTTGGGGACCCAGGGCAGAGGGAGGCGCTCTGTGGCTGTCTGTCCCCTGGCTGCCGTCGGGACCCCCACCTCACCAGGGGAGGAGCGACGCTGGGGCTGCGCGGCTGGGGACGGGCAGGGACAGCCCTGAGCCCCGTCCGCCCTCCCCCCACCCCCTCCCCAGGGCTGTCCAGAAGCTCAGCCTGGCCTCCAAGCGCAAGAAGCCCCACCCTCCACCAGCCCCTGCCAGCCGGGGTACCTCCACCTACCCCACGGACTTCAGTGGGGCCCTGCAGCTGTGGCCGCCCCCTGTGCCCCCCTGCCTGCTCAGGGCCTCTGCCAAGGCCAAGGACAACCTCAGCAGTGTTGGAAAGGTAGGCCCAGGCCTGATTTGAGGACGGCCCCTCTGGGGTGGGGGAACGAGGCCAGGGGTGTTTGAGCAGGTGCGGGGGTGGGTACACAAGACAGAAGACCCTTGCTTCCTTCCTCCGGGTTGGATGAGGTGGTCAGCAGGGCTGCAGGTGGGGAGACTGAGCCCAGCCAACCTTGGTGGCTCAAGGTGGCCGCAGGGAGCCTGGGAGACTGGGGCGGGGGTCCCGGGGCTGGGTGCTGGTCTCAGGGTGGGCTGGGACAGCCAGGGGCTTCCTGGGACTAGGTGTTGGGGTCTTACCCAAGGACCCCTCTCTGCCTCACCTCTGCGGGCATGCGCCCTCAGGTGGGGCTGGGGGCAAGGGCGGGACCCTTGGCTCTCCAGAGAGCAGGCAGACCCCAGCCGCAGGTCACCCCGGGAAGAAGGGGGAACGGGAGTTGGTTCAGATGGGGAAACCGAGGCCCACAGGGACCGAGGGCCTCACCCAGTCTGGGGACAGCCTGGCTGGGTCCGGGCCACCCTGGCTCTGGCCCCCACCGCCTGCCTCCAAGGCTGCGTTTCATCCTCGCTCTGAGTTGGGTGCTGGTAACTATTCCGAAACCTGGGTCAGGGCCCCGGTGTGTGTGGGCCCGTCTCGGGCTGGGCTCTTCGTGCCCACGGAGGCCTCTCGTCGGTGCCCCCAGGAGCTTGCTGCGGGCGGTGGGGACCTCCGCTCTGCCCCGGCCAGAGGGGGAAGCTGCCAACAGGACAGGGCGACTGGCTCTGGGGAGTGGCTTTCGACAGCTGCGGGCCTGGCTTTGACCTTGGCCTGGTCACTTGGCCTGCCGGTGTCGTCTGGGCTTCACCTGCAGGCGGTGGGGACAGGGCGGGCTGGTGTCCGGGGTCGGTGGCTGGACGGCTGTGCACTGCAACCCACACTCGGGTTCTCGCAGGGGGACTTGGGGTGCGGGTGGGCCCTCACCCAGGGTGGGGTGCTGCCTTCCTGTGGGAGACGCTCCCTCCGCCCCGGGCCACCAGTCAGTCCTGTCCCCACCCACCCAGGGCCCCTCTCTGCCTGCTGTTTGCAGCAACGTCACAGGCAGACATGCCTCCTGAGAGGCACGTAACATTGTCACAGAAAGGAAGTCAGATCACGCTCGGTTCCTGACACGAATGTGCTGCTTAGAGTAATTCATCATCTTGCCGTCTTAAAAGACCCCGTGTGGTGGGCGAGGGTGCCCCTCCCCCGGCGCCTGGGCCGCCTCTTAGGAGTGGAAGCCCTTTTTTCATGCAAAATATGTCTTTTCCTAACCAGCAGCTGTTCAGTGGGGCTTTGCGACATCTGAACAGTGACAGGGCGGGGAGACTGCTGAGACTGTCTCGTTCGAGGACTGGTTTCCCTGAGGCCAGGGCAGGACTCGCGCAGACAATGGCCTGTGCATTCGGCGCGGGCGGTGCAAGGGGCAGGCTGGCCCGGGACATCCCCACAGCGGCTGCTTTTCCTGCCAGCAGCTCCCCGCTCTTGCATCCGCAGGGCCCATTGGGCTCCTGAAGTGGCCGAGAGTTCACGCAGAAAACAATAGCCCCACATGAGCGGCCAGGACGCACGCCGTGAGCGTGGCCACGGTGTTTGGACATGAAGTCGTTTTGCTCGGGCTTCGGGGAAGAAAAGAACCGACTCGGGGCAGTGGAGCCAGCGGGTGGGGGGCGAGGTCGGGAAGTGCTCTCCGCGCCCCGGGGGCCCACGGCGTGCTGCCCCCGGTGAACCGATCCTGCGGGTGTGATGTACCTGCCACCTGAGTGGGTTCTGTGAAACTGAGTCTGTGAAAGTCAGTGGCTCTGAGACGGGTTACGCGGTTCACACGGGGGACTCGGGGCCGGACAGAGGGGCCCAGCCCGGAGCCACGGCTGCTCCCAGGAGGACTCTCCCCACGGCCCTGCTGCTTACAGGAGCCGCTGTCTCGGGTCGTTTCGATGCAGCTTTGGGGGCGTCTTGGTTCCTGGTCCCCTGGTCCCCTGGTCCCCTGCCTCCCGCAGCCTCCTGTCCTCATGGCCCCAGGCAGTGGGGGTGGGGGACCGGACTCCAGGAAGCTGAACCTGGGGGGGGGAGCACATTTCTGTGTCTGTTTCTGTGTTTTGTGGAAGTGAGAGCAGAGCCGCCTGTTGGCTGACTCAGACGCCCCCTCCTGCCGGGCTCTGTCTCTGCCCCTGCCCCGCGCCCCGGCCGTCCTGGCCCCCGTGGCCTCCCGGCCTCTCCCCGGCCTGTCCTACCGGAGGCCTGGAGTCTCTTCTCAGGCAGGACGATCATCTCCCTCCGCCTGTCTTTCCGGCTCCCCAGGCCCAGGACCCTGGCGTCTCCTGGGGTTGGGGACTTGCTCTCCTGGGGTGTCAGGCCCCAGCCTGGCCCCCTCTGGGCCTCTGTTTCCTGCTGCCCGCCCCCCCCCCCAGCCGGGTTGCGGTGGCAGCTGTGCTCTGGCCCTGAGTGTCCCTCTGCCGTTGGGTCCGCGTCCCTGCCCCAGCCCGGGGACGCCCCTCCCCGAGCCCAGCTGCACTTGGTTCACTGCGCTGGAGGGGCCCAGGGTGGTCAGGGGGCCTGCCTTTGGGGGGTCTGGCTATTCCCTCTGTTGGCCCCCGCCCCTCCTCGCCCTGCCCTCAGATTCGGGGTGTGGGGCTTCAGGAGACCGCCTCAGGCCGGGCGACCTCTCTGACCACATTTCCTGTGGGCGGTGGACCTGGGGGAGGGGCGGCTGTGTGGCCACTCCACCTGGGAAGATGGCAGAACTGTGACTGCCCTGGAATGTTCCATGCCCCTGGGGTCCACTCCCTGTGTCGCCCCCTCCCGCCGCCTCCAGGTGAAAGTTGTGCTGCGCGTCTGGCCGGCCCAGGGGGCCCCATGCTCGGCCGAATCGCCACCGTCCTTCTTGAAGGTGGACCCACGGAAGAAGCAGGTGACCCTTTATGACCGGGCCACTGGGCCCCCGGGCGGCACAGGTTCCCGGCTCGCAGTGACCCCCGCAGTCCCTAAGATGTTTGCCTTCGATGCCGTTTTCCCCCCGGACTCGGAGCAGGTGAGGGTGAGGGGGCCTTGGGGACACAGGTGGCGGGGGCAGGTGCAGCCCTCGGACGGGGGGCGGGGACGGGGGCTGGGAGTCTCCCTCCCTCACGCTCCTCCGCCCGCCCTTGGGGCGGCTGCTTGGGCCACAGCCTGGTTCTCAGGTCGCCTTTGGGGCGGGAGGAGCTTCCGCCCAGAGGGGCACTGGCTTCAGGAAAGTCCTCTGCATCGTCCTGTGGGAGCTGGGGCCACGCGTGTCCTGTGCTTGGGGCCCCTGGGCATCCGTGACAGTAGTGTGTGACTCGTGTGTGTGCTGCATGTGCCATCAACGTGTGTCTGGCTGGTTCATGCATGTGTTGTGCACATCCGTGTCCTGTCCATGCGTGTTCCGTGTGCACACAGAGGGAGGTCTCTTTGTGTCCTTGGTCCTGGCTACCCTGTGAGCCGACCTGCTTACCCCTCCTTGACCCTGGTGCGGGCCTGGCTCTGTCCCCCCCCAGGCTGAGGTCTGCTCGGGGACGGTGGCTGATGTGCTGCAGTCAGTGGTCAGCGGGACCGACGGCTGCATCTTTTCCTTCGGCCCCACAAGCCTGGGTGAGTACCCTCCATCGTCCGCTCTGCGGTTCCTGGGCCCCGCGTCCGAGTGGGGGGGGACGCGGGCATGTCCCTCCCCGGCAGTGGGTGGGAAGCTGGAGCCCTGCTGGCCTGGCAGCCAGGGGTCCTCAGAGCAGGTCCGAGCTGGGGCCTGGGGGCGCCCAGTTGGCTCTGAGAGCCCCGGCTGGGCCAGCGAGGCGGCGGTCGGGTCAGGAGCTCCGTGGCATTTATGGTGAGCGTGGGGCCTGACCGCGCTGCGGCCCTCAGGGACATCTCACACCATGATCGGGAAGGACAGCTCGCCCCACAGCCTGGGCGTCACCCCCTGTGCCATCTCCTGGCTCTTCCGGCTCATCGGGGAGCGCAGGCAGCGGACAGGCACCCGATTCTCCGTCCGCGTCTCCGCCGTGGAGGTGTGCAGCCGGGACCAGAGCCTGCGCGACCTGCTGGCCGAGGTGGCTGCCGCCAGCCTCCAGGATGCCCGGTCTCCCGGTGTGTGCCTGCGGGAGGACCCCGTCTGTGGGACGCAGGTACGCCCACACCTCCGCCTGGCCTCTGCGTGGTGGGGAGCCGGGGCTGCGGGGGTTGCTGGGAGGCTGCGGGGGCCGCGGCTCGGCCTGACCACTGAGGCACCGCTGTCCCCTCTGCCGGCCCAGCTCCAGAACCAGAGTGAGCTGCGGGCGCCCACGGCGGAGAAGGCAGCCTTCTACCTGGACGCCGCCCTGGCGGCCCGCAGCCCCAGCCCAGCCAGCTCCCACCTGCTCTTCACACTGCACGTGTACCAGTACCGCGTGGAGAAGTGCGGCAGCGGGGGAAGTAGGTGACCCGTGGCCTGCGGCTGGGGGCGGGGGCTGGGCCGTGGTCCTGGGGCGAAGCCTCACCCGCCCGTCCTGTGCTTGCAGTGTCTGGAGGCCGCAGCCGCCTGCACCTCCTTGACCTGGGTGGCTGCGAGGGGGCTCCTGGCGGCCCCCTGGGCCTGTCCCTGTCTGCCTTGGGCGCTGTCATATTGGCCCTGCTCAGCGGAGCCAAGCACGTGCCCCACAGGTAAGCGGTGGGTGTCTCGGGGGGACCAGCAAGTGCAGGTTGGGCAGGTCCCGTGTGTTGCCCTGGACTCTTCCTTCCTCATTGTCCCTCCACCTCACCCCCCAAGGCCTGGCTGGGCAGTGAGACAGGCGCTGTGTCTGGGGAGGGGCCCACGCCCTCCCTGCAGCCCAGCCTTGCGCCCTGACCCCCACCCCCACCCCCAGGGACCACAGGCTCACCCTGCTGCTGCGGGAGGCCCTGGCCGCCGCCACCTGCCACACCACCATGATCGTGCATGTCTCCGACGCGCCCGCCCACCACGCCGAGACACTCAGCGCCGCACAGCTGGCCGCTCGCGTCCACCGCCTGCGAAGGAAGAAGGTCAAGGTGGGTTCCCTCCTCCGCCTGCCCTGCCCGCCCCGAGGCCCAGGGGCTTGTGTTCGCCAGGCTTCTGCCCTGCGCTTGGGGTGAGCCCAGACTCCCCGAGCCCTGCCCCGCCCTCCCGGCCCCGCCCAGAGCAGGTGGGCGGCTGTGTCCGAGGCCACCTGCTGTCCCAGCAGGACCGGAGTAGCTCACGGGGCCTTTCCATAGCCTGGCCTCCACCTGCCTGGCCCAAAGGGGAGGCGGTGGGTGGGGGCTCAGAGGGGCTTGGTGGGGCCCCCAGGGCTGGGACGTTTACCTGGAAGCTGCCCGGACCTGAGAGGCGGGGCGGGCGGGGGCGCTGGGGGGACCGACGCTCACCCCGGGCCTGCTCTGCCCTCAGTGCGCCTCCAGCTCCTCCGGCGGTGACAGCTCCTGTGAGGAGGGCTGCGCCCGCCCCGCCGCCGCCCCGCCTCTCTTCCACCCCCGCCCCGGGGCCCGCCTGGCCCCCAGCCCGCCCCGAGACCCCGACTACTCATCCAGCAGTGAGCAGTCCTGCGACACGGTTGTTTACGTGGGGCCCGGCGGGGCAGCGCTGTCGGACCGCGAGCTCACGGACGGGGAGGGCCCGCCGGACTCTGTGCCCATCGTCCCTGCGCTGAGCCGCCGCCGGCCCTCCGGGGGCCCTCGGGACGCGGACCACTTCCGCTGTGGCACCTTCGCGGAGCTGCAGGAGCGGCTGGACTGCATTGACGGCAGCGAGGGCCCCTCGGGAGCCCTGGCCAGCCCTGCCCGAGGCAGCAGGAAGCCCTCCCCACCCGAGGCTGCTGCCCCCAGGGTGGCTGCGGACGCCCCACTGGCTGTCAACGCACCTCACCCCAGCCCCGGCCCAGACGCCCACCGGGCTGCCCCAGAGCCGGATAGCGGCGCCGGACCTGAGCTGCTTGGGCTGGACAAGGCCCCGGGCGGTGGTGGCAGGAGGCCGCTTCCCAGCCCAGCCCCTCCGCCCCCTGGACAGTGGGATGGGGGCCAAGCCCCCACTGAGCCCGAGGGCAGGGGTGCTGATCCCGCAGTCCGGACGCCCCCGGTGGGCATGAGTGGGGTGGGGGGCTGCTCCCGTTTGCCCACGAGGGGCCGTCTGGAGCGGGGCCTGCTGACCACCACAGTGACCCTGCAGCAGCCCGTGGAGCTGAACGGTGAGGACGAGCTGGTGTTCACGCTGGTGGAGGAGCTGGCCCTGGGCGGCCGCCCCGCCAGCCTGGCCAGCTTCAGCAGCGACTGCTCGCTGCAGGCCCTGGCCTCGGGCTCGAGGCCGGTGAGCATCATCAGCAGCATCAACGACGAGTTCGACGCCTACACCTCGCAGGCTGCCGGCTCCTCCGGGAGCTCCAGTCTCTGCGAGGTCGGCGCCTGCACCGCCGACAGCCCCCGCCCCGCGCCGCAGCCGTGCTCACGGGCCAGCCCGGACCCCCTCCGCCCCGACTCCCCAGCGGGGCCCAGCCCTCTGCGCCCCCGGATCCCGGACAGCTCCCCGGGGCACAACTCACCAGACGGCCTTGGCGCTGTGGCTGTGGCAGCCACCGCCCGAGTGGGCAGGGAGCCCCAGGCCACGTCCCCACGCAGGGCAGCCCCTTTGCAGACCATCCACTCCAGCCTCCCCCGGAAATCCAGGACCACTGCGGCGGCCAGTTGCCCAGGCGGCCCTCACCTGGCCCTGATCCCACCTGGCCCTGCGGGGCAGTTCGAGGACCCCTGGCTTCTCCAGGCAGATGGCCGTGGCCCCCTCCAGGTGACCTCTGCCAGCAGGTCCCCCAGCCCGGCCCCGGTGCTGGCTTGTGCCCAGAGGGTGGTGGATGGCTGTGAGGTGGCAGCCAGGGCGGCCCCCGCGCCGGAGGCTGTGGCCCAGGTCCCAGTGCTGCGAAGGGGGGCCACCACACTGGGGGTGACCACGGGGGCCGCGCCCTGCGGGCATGTCCCAGTTGAGTCAGAGGCCTGCTTGGGTGGCCCGAGGGCCACCTCCAGCAGCAAGAGGAGTGTGGGCCCCCGGGGGGGTTTGCTCCTGAGGCCTGGCGGGTCGGCGCCCCCAGCCCCGCCCGTGCGCAAGTCCAGCCTGGAGCACAAGACCGGCCCGTCGCCCACGCCTCCTCCCCCCGGGGGTCTAGCCTGGCCCGGGGCTGCTGCCCCCGTCCTTGGGGAGGAGGAGGCCAGGCCCAGCGGTCGGGCCGATCACTCCGTCTCCAAGGCCACGTCCAGCCTGAAGGCCCGAGCAGGGAAGGCGGAGGCCGCGTACCGGCCTGCCGCCCACGGCTCTCTGGAGCGGGGCGAGGGCCTGGCCCCCGGCAGCGGCAGGGCCAGGGAAGCCGGTGGAAGGCCCACCCGGGCTGTGCCTAGGTTGGGAGTGCCACCCTCCAGCCCTGCACCCGGGCCTGCTCCCGCCTACAGGGGCAGCCCTGCCAGGGGTGTGGGGGCCCCTAAGCCCCCAGCTGGTGGGGGCAAGGGCCGTAGCCTGGTGGGTGGCGGGTCAAGGGCTCTGGGCCCTTCTGCAAAGCCTCTGGCCCCTGCGGCAGGCCGGACACCCAGCGGTCCTGCAGCGGGTCCCAGGGCAGCACCTCGGGCCAACCCTGGCATCGGGGCCAAGGTCAGCCGGGGCACCATCATGGGCACCAAGCAGGCCCTCCGGGCCGCCCACAGCCGCGTGGACGAGCTGGCGGCCGGGGGCGCCCGGGGCAGAGGCGGCCCCTCCTGGGGCTCGGCCGACTCGGACAGTGGCAACGACAGCGGCGTGAATGTGGGCGAGGAGCGGCCCCCGGCCGGCCCCCTGCTGCCCTCGCCCTACAGCAAGGTGACAGCCCCACGGCGTCCCCAGCGCTACAGCAGCGGCCACGGCAGCGACAACAGCAGCGTGCTGAGTGGGGAGCTGCCCCCGGCCATGGGCCGCACGGCGTTGTTCTACCACAGCGGCGGCAGCAGCGGCTACGAGAGCATGATGCGTGACAGCGAGGCCACTGGCAGCGCCTCCTCCGCCCCCGACTCCATGAGCGACAGTGGAGCCGCGTCCCCGGGCTCCCGCGCCCGCAGCCTCAAGTCCCCCAAGAAGAGGGCCACAGGTGGGTGGGGCTGCCTCCCTGGACACACCCTCCGCAGCTCGCAGCTCGGAGGTGCCTGGTGGCTGGGCGTGACCTTGGGCAGTCCTGTCGGTGCACCCCCCATGGTTCATAAACATGCCCTGGGTGCACCCCTCTGCCGGAGAGGCTGGTCTCCATCCCCGCAGGGTGGACAGGCCAGGGCTGGGGGCCAGGGACCAGCTGCCTGGAAGCCCCCTGCCTTCATTCCCTGAACCTCCTGTCTCTGGGACCGGGCGGGGTGGGCTCATCCTTCATGCCGTGTGTGGTTGTGAGGCCCCGGCCGTGGGCTGATGTGCAGGGAGGGGCTGGCACACTGTTGGGCGGAGCTAGGGTGGGGTTGCAAGCGGGGAGGTGGGGGCCAGGCTGAGGAGTCTGCCCCCGCCAGGGGCTGGGAGTGAGGGTTGGTGGGCTCCACGGGGCAGTCGTGGTTCGGAGCCCGTGCCCTTTCCCCCGTCCGGACCCCGTCATCCAGCGCCCGGCTCTGCTCAGGTCTGCAGCGGAGACGGCTGATCCCAGCCCCGCTGCCCGACGCTGCCACCCTGAGCCGCAAGCCCAACCTTCCTGGGCAGTGGGTAGACCTGCCCCCGCCCCTGGGAGCCTCGCTGAAGGAGCCCTTCGAGATCAAGGTGTACGAGATCGACGACGTGCAGCGCCTGCAGCGACACCGGCCGCCTCCTCGGGCAGAGCTGGAGGTCAGCGAGGGGGGCAGGTGTGGGGGGGGGCCCTGGCAGGGCAGGGGCTGCCCTGGGGGTGTGGCCGGGCAGGCCTCCGAGCTCACCCTCCCCCCTTGTCCACAGCCCTCCCAGGACGTGGAGAAGGTAGGGACTGGCCCTGCACCCGCGGTGACCCCGATGCTCCCCTTGGGCAGAGAGCGGGCGGTGGAGAGGTCCTGAGGCCGCCCCTGTTCCCCGGAGTCCCACTTGGGGGAGTTCCCACCACTGTGCCCACCCATCCTGGGCCCAGGTTCCACACTGTCGGGGTGCTCGGGAGCCCCACCTGGTGCTGCACAGCCTGTGGGGCCCGGCGCCCACTCCTGCCCACCTTCGAGGCCCCCTGCGTGTCTGCCCAAGCCAGTAGGGTGGAGGGGCTCCCGGGCAAGGCCAGGGGTGGCGGGAGCCGCTGGGAGTCCTCCATGCCTGGGGCCCGCGTGCCGTCCCCCATCCCCAGGGCCCAGTGTGCGCCAGCGTGAAGGTGCGGCTGGCGGAGCGTCAGCAGCAGAAGCTCCGAGATGTGCGGGCCAAGCGGGAGCTGCTCTGTGCGGAGCTGGCTGCGACCCAGGGCCGGCTGATGCTGGAGCCCGGCCGCTGGCGGGCACAGTGTGAGTCCCCCACCCACAGGCCCCCTGCCCCCCTGCCCCTGCCCGCCCTGCACCCGGAGCCCGGGGCTCCAGGCCGCCGGGCCTGACCAGCGGTCGCGGTCCCTCCCCAGTCGAGGTGGACCCCACGCTGGAGCCCGAGTCCGTGGAGCACCTGGAGGCCCTGGAGCGCGCAACGGCCGCCCTGGAGCGGCACGTGAACCTGTGCAAGGCCCACGTCATGATGGTCACCTGCTTCGACATCAGCGTCACCACGCCAGCCGCCACCCCGGGGCCACGGGAGGTGGACGTCTGAGGCTGGGGACTTGGGGAGGGGATGTGTGGGGCGGGAGGATGGCAGGTGAGATGGACGGTGGATGTGTCGGGGGCTGGAGGGACGTGGACGCAGAGGCCCCGGCGCAGAGCCGGGCGCTCGGAGTGGCCGGGACATGAGGGAGCGGCGTGGATGGAGGGTGAGTGAGCGGGAGGCGAGGGGACTGTCCCCACCCAGACAGCGACGCAAGTGCCTTTGACCTGGACGAGGACTTCTCTTCCTTGTTCGTTTGGTGCTGAGAACACGAGCCACCAGCAGCTGGAGGCCGGCCTCGTTCCTCGGGGTCCAGGCATCTGACACAGCAGGTCTGGGCAGCTGCGGCCGGGCCCCCGGCCCCTTTCCACCCCCAGGATGGCTTTCCTGGGCACGGGATGCCCCGACCTGCTCGGTCCCCAGGACACGGGAGGGCAGTGCCCGGGGCTGAGCCCAAGCCACACAGCGCCTTCTTCTGCGGCAGGAACTCTTACCAAAACCACGCGCAGAAACGAGAACTGACACACAGGAGGGGTTGCAGGTTTTGGCAGGTCTTGTCGGGTGTGTATTTTTATACTATTTTGCCTACAAGTGCGGCATTTGCAGCGGGAGTTTGAAAACAAACGGTTTATGTTTCTACAGTTTTCTACGGAAGGTGTCCCTCCGCTCTTTCTGGGGGACGCCCTGGGCGGGAACCAAAGGGGAGCCTGCTGACGCTCCGTGTTCCCGCCTCGGCAGGCTCTTTTCGACCACTGTGCGTTTTTTGGGGGCGTCTGCATTTTTGTACAGACGTGCGGACGACATCCTGCCGTGGCTCTTACTTGTGAATAAACGGTGCATCGATCGTCCTGTGGCTCTGAGTCGCCGGCCACTCTGCCCTCCTCTGAGGGTCCCGAGGGAGGGGGTGGTCCGGGTGCCCTCAGGGATCCTCCGGCTCCCCCTTCGCCCCCCAACCGCCTTTTGCAAGAGGTAGGTGTGTGCACACCGCAGGCGCTTCAGGCTTCGGGTCCCGGAGCCAGCGGCAGGCCGCCCGGCACGGCTGGCCTCTGCTGGGGGCTGGGCCCTCTGGGGGTCCACCGGGGTCCTGGACCCTGGTGTCCCTCACCTGGCGTGGGTAGCCTTCTCGTCTCCGATGGCTGCCGTGGGCCCTTGTGATCGGCGTGACCCAGCAGCTCCACTCAGCCTCTCCGCAAGTCCGGGTCCCTGCTCCTGCCCCACCTGGTCCGAACACCGCACCCGGGCGCCCTCCCCGCCCCGTCCTCCTCTGGCCACAGGCTGCTCTGACGTTGGCCTGGCCCTGGGCACCACGATGCTGCCCACGGCCCGTCTGAGTCCTGTCCCCAGGCTCCAGGCCCCTCAGGGACCCCCAGCCCCTTCCGGGCAGTGAGTGTGGGACTGCTCCTTGGTGGCCCTGCTGCCCCCTCCACCTGGCGGCCACACCTTGTGCGGTCTAGCCCATCCCCCACCCGATGGGGCGCTGGGAGGTGGGGCGAGGTCTGAGTCGGCACTGCACCCCGACGTGGGCCGCGGGGCTGGGCACCAGCGATGGCTCTGGTGAAGAAGGAAGGGGGGAGGGAGGGAGGGGGGAAGGGGCGAAGGACCGAGTCTTCGCCAGGGGGCTCCCAGCCGCGGGCCGAAGCAGCTCCGGGACCCTGGGCACCGATTTCGCGCTGCCTTCCTGGACACCCCTTGTCATCCTCAGATGGGCCTGGTGGCCCCGTGGCCCCCCGTGGCTCAGGCCACAGCCACCAGTGCCGTGTCACCAGCCCCAGGCTGCCTCCTCGCTCTGCTGCCGATGGCACTTGGGCCCCCAGCCTGTGAGACTGGGTGGCATGTCAGCTGGTCTCTGGGAGGACCCTCACGCCCCCAGCTGTCCCTCCCTTGCTGTTCCGAGGCCAGATGCCACCCCCGCCAGATTTGGGGTGGGATGGAGAGATGGATTCTATGTGGGGACATCAGACGTTGGGAACAGGACTCGACATCTGAGCGGAGGGTCTGGGAAGCCCACTTCGTCCAGCCTGCTGTGACCCAGCGTCTGGCTAGGGCCGTGCAGGGGGCTGTGGAGGCCCCTGTGAGCCCGGCTTCGCTGTGAGGGCTGTGACCTTGCTCTCGGCGAGCCCCACGCCGCCTCACTGGGCCTCGTGGGGGCTGGTGTGGGGGCTGACTGGGTGGTCTCTTCCTTCACAGGGAACATCCCCTGCTCCCTCCTGGGCCCCTCAGTCGGTCACTGGCGGGCCCAGAGCCTGCGCCTCCCTGGGGGCCTTCTCCGGCACTGTCCTAGTCTGGCCTCTTGGGGCAGCCGCTGGCCGATCGGGGCCAGACCAACGGGGCTGGCTCCCCACCCTCAGGCACCGGTGCAGGGGTGGCGGGTCTGCTTCTCTGGATGGGAACCCTGCCCCGCGGTGGCCGGGAGCCTGCGCTGCCTTTCACCTGGGACATCAGAGCCCTCAGCCGCATCGTGCAGGCCGGGGCCCCGAGGGGAGCGGCCTAGATGCCCGTGGATGGGAAAGGTGCGGGCCCAGCTGTGGGCTGGGAGGGACCCAGGCCGTCCCACTCGGGGCCGCCTCCTGCTGGCTAAGGTCTGAGAAAACAGCCCCAGAGTGGCTCTGTGGGGCCCTTCTCCTTGGGACCCCGGTGGGGCCGGGGTCAGCCCAGGCCTGGGGGCAGGGGTGGGAGCCGCGGCCTGGGAGCCGGAGGGAGGAACCTTCCCTGGGCGATGGGGGGACCAGGTCCACACTGGCCCGGTGGTGTCTCTCACAGCCGGCCTGCTCCTTGGCAAGGTGCCCTCCCTGTCTCACTCTGCGCGTCTGGCCCACCCCCGCCCTGTGCCCCTGGAGGCCATGTGGGGAGGCAGCGTCCAGCCGGGGTCAGGCCGGGCTGGGTGAGCAGGGGCAGGGCACACGGGGCCCAGGAGGTGTCTGGGACCAGGCGGGCACCATGCGCTTGCCCTGCGGGACTAGAGTTGCCCCGCCGGCTGGCTCCCAGGTGCCCACCTGTCCTGGGTCTGGTGTCCTTCAGGGCCCTGGGGAGCAGCATGGAGCTTTCTGAGTAGGGGGTTTGGGCCCCCTCCCGTGGTCACTGCCACACAGGCTGGGGAGGGGCTGGCAGCCATGACCCTGGAGACGGTGATGTCTGTGTAGTGTGGAGACCCTGGTGTCGGGGACGGGGCACAGAGGCAGTGGGCCTGGCAGGCAGCCTGGGGACCCTGGAGGCTGATCCACACCTCCTCCCTCCTGGGCGCGGGCCTCTCCTGACCCATGTCCCCCGGGGAAGTCAGGTGGGGCTCCCTCTGGGCCTGAGCCCTGCAGGCGTGGGGGCGGGGAAGCCTGGGGAGGCCGAGGTGAAGGGTCCTAAACGAACAGAGGGTCCAGCACCAGTGCCCACCCGCCCTGCCCCCCTCAGGACACCTGGCACTCCCTGAGGTCTGGGGCAGGGGGCCCAGGAGTGCAGTGGCCTCGTTTCCTCCTCTGTCCCAGCCCCAGTCTTCCCCCAGTGCCCCTGGGAGTGCTGTCCTGCTGTCTCAGGGCCCCAGCCCCAGGGTCCCAGGGGAGTCTGGGGCCCTCGGGACCTCCCTGCAGCCCTGGGGTGGGGACCCTGCTCCTAGACGCAGCCCCTGACCGCCACCCCTCACCCCAGCGGGGCACCAAGGGGCCCTGGGGGTGGGGCTGGGCCCTGGAGCCTGCGCCCAGCAAACAGGAAGCTGGAGGGTGACTTCTCCAGACATTGTGCTGCCCGGCGGGACCCAGGCCCCACGTCCACACAGGAAGGGCAGGGCGGGGTGGGCGGGCCCCCCTGGCTGGGCAGGAAGCGCTTCCTCTGGCTGGGCCGGCAGCGGGGGGTGGGGCGGGGGTCCGTGCAGACCCGGAGTCCTTGCACCCCCACTTTATGGTGTGGCTGGGGACACTGAGGCCCAGTTGGGGGACGATCTGTCCACCAGACGGGACAGGGCAATGCTGTGTCCCCTCCCCAGAGTCCCTTGTGGTCTGGCATGAGGGCGGGTGAGGGCACGGGGTTGTGTGAGGTCTCGGGAAGGGCCTTATGGGAGGGGTGGGAACAGAGGGGGGAGCCCGTGGGGAGGGGCCGCCAGAGCCTTTCCGACCAGGCTGAACCCACAGGTGCCCTCCTGGGCCTTCTCCACACAGGCCGGCTCTCAGTGCCACTGGGAAGCCCTCGGGCAGGTCTTCCTCCTTCCCCTCCCCTCCCCCCCTCACCTTCCAAAGGGCCCCCACCCGGAGAAGCAGGGTCAGCAGGCAGCCACCCCCGGCCGCGCCGCGGTGACTGTGTCTATTTCACGGCCGTCTGTCGAAAGCGACTCTTAGGTGGACGGGAAGCTTGTGCACCCCAGGCGGGGGTCCTCAGTCGCCTTGTCCCACGCGAGTGCGGGTGGAGGCCTGTGGTCAGTCAGAGGCCTGCGTTGGGTCCCTCTCATGAGCTGAAGCCCAGGCTGTTCCCGTGTCCCCTCGGCCCGTCCACTGGCTGGCGTCTCGCTCAGGCCTGCCCCCGCCTCCCGTGGCCAACGCCCCCGCCGGCCTGGACTCCTGGGCAGCTGCCGGGCAGCAGGGGTGTAACTTGATACCTCGGAACCGGGGAACGGCGTTACCGCGTTACCGTGGCTGCTGGCGGCCCTTGCAGCTGGCTGGAGTGGAGTTCAAGTCCTGTCCGTCCAGCACAGAGGTGCCTGCCCAGGGCGGCCCAGCCCAGACGAGGTGCCCGCTTCCTGGCCTGGCCCTTCCGCTGTACATGGCTATTCCCTGCCCTCTGGGCTCCCCCTGGACATCAAGCCGCCCTGCGCCTGGGCCTCCTGCGCTGGAGAGTGTGGCCTCAGGGCAGCCGGCCTGGGCCTGTCCCGAGGGGGCTCGGGGCACAGGAACCCCTCATCTCTGAGTAACACCCCCTAGAGGCTGGGGTCTGAGGCCGAGCAGGTCCCCTCGTGGTCACAGACCTCGTAGTCACAGGCCTCGTGCTACCTGAAGGGGAATGTGGGTACAGGAGGTGGCCGCAGTGCTGACAATGTCACAGTAATTGCCAGCATGACCTGGCAGCCTGGCCCAGCCCCGGGGCCAGAGCAGGGGCAGTGACGTCCGAAGAAGCCACAGGGCGGTTCCCGAATGAGGTCACCCCGTACCTGCCTTCACACTGTCATCACCTGGGAAATGCTAGGTCAGCGGGGACACGCCACCTGCCTCCCGGCAGCCAGGCCCCTCTCCTGCCGCCCTGCCACCCTCCTGTCTCCAGGGACGGCCTTCTGCTCAGCCCCAGCAGCTACCACTTCTCCCCGCTGTCCGGGAGGGAAGACGGGGTCCAGGTTAATAACCTGCTTTACCTGCCTCTGAAGCGGCCCCTCTCCTGCCACGGGACCCCTGCACAGCTGGGGGCAGGGACCAGGGTTCTGGGGGCAGGGGGTCGTGCTGGACCCCTGGGGGTGGGTCCTGAGCAGGCCCCCGTCCTGCATCTGATGTCCCCTCCTGCAGAAGGGGGCTCGGCCTGGCTGCCTCTGCCTTGGCCCCAGACGTGGGGGCTGGGCCTCTCTGGTCCCCAGTGAATCCCTCCTGCTCCCCCCACAGTGCAGAGACCAGGCCGTATTTCTTGCTGCCTCTGGGGCGGTGGGAGAGTGGGCCCTCCTGGCAGAGGGGTGATGCTCTAAATCCAGCGCCAACACTGATTTGTGGGCCTGCCCGTGCCGGCGCCGGGCTTGCTGGCATCTTTATGACGCAGGCTGAGCCTCGGCCGCTGCTGGGATGGTGTGGGAGTGATCTACAGCCTGCCCGCCCGCCCGGAGCCAGGCCCGACTCAGGACACGGCTTCTGTTGCTCCAGGAGCCTTAAGATGTAGCTTCAGGGAGGAGTTTTCAGGGG